TAACTAACACAGGATCTGTTGAGACTTTCTATTTCTTCTTGAGTCAGTTTAGGTAATTTCAAGGAATTGGTTCATTTCTTCTAGGTTATCCAATATGCTGGCATACAATTGCTCATAGTATTCTCTTATAATTGTTTTTTTAAAATCTCTGCAAGATTGGTGGTAATGTCCTCACTTTCATTTCTGATTTTGGTTATTTATGTATCTTTGCTAATGTTTTTGTCAGTCTACCTCAAGGTATATTCATTCTGTGGATCTTTTCAAAGAACCAATTTTTGGTTAGAGTGTTTTTCTCTGCTATTTTTCTATTCTCTCTTTTGTTTATCTCTAATCTTTATTATTTTCTTTCTTTTGTTGGTTTTGGGTTTAGTTTGCACCACTTTTTCTGGTGTCTTAAGGTGTAAAGTTAGGTTATTGATTTGATTTTCTTTTTGGTATTTTTTTTTTTTTTGAGATGGAGTCTTGCTCTGTCACCAGGCTGGAATTCAGTGGCACAATCTTGGCTCACTGCAACCTCTGCCTCCCAGGTTCAAGCAATTCTCCTACCTCAGCCTTCCGAGTAGCTGGGACTACAGGTACGTGCCACCACACCCGGCTAATTTTTGTGTTTTAGTAGAAACAAGGTTTCACCATGTTGGCCAGGATGGTCTCAAACGCCTGACATCATGATCAACTTGCCTCAGCCTCACAAAGTACTGGGATTACAGGCATGAGACACTGCACCCGGCCAACATTTTTTTTAATGTAAACACTTACAGCTATGATTTTCCCTCTAAGCCCTTTTTCTCACTACATCCTATGAATTTTGGTATGTTGTGTATTCATTTGCATTTGTCTCTTATTATTTTCTAATATCCCTTGTGATTTTTTTTGACCCATTAGTTGTTTAAGAATTAGTTGTTTAAGGCCAGGCGTGGTGGCTCATGCCTGTAATCCCAGCGCTTTGGGAGGCCAAGATGGGCGGATCACCTGAGATCAGGAATTCAAGACCAGCTTGGCCAACATGGTGCAACCCTGTCTCCAGTAAAAATACCAAAAATTAGCTGGGTGTAGTGGTGGGTGCCTGTAATCCCAGCTACTCAGGAGGCTGAGACGGGAGAATTGCTTGAACTTGGGAGACAGAGGTTGCAGTGAGCCAAGATTGCACCATTGTACTCCAGTCTGGGCAACAAGAGTGAAACTCCATCTCAAAAAAGAAAAAAAAAAAAAGAATGAATTGTTTATTTTCTGTAGCTTTGTACATTTTCTAATTTTCCTTTATTGATTTCTAACTTTATAAAGTTTTGCATTCTTCGTTAAAGAACAGACAGATACTTTACATGGTATCTATTTTAAAAAATCTATTGGGACTTGTTTTGTGGCTTACCATATGTTCTATCCCAGAGAACGTGCCATGTGCACTTGAGAAAAATATGTATTCTGCTGTTATACTGGGTAGACTATTGTATATATGACTGTTAGGACTAATTGTAATTTTCACATGTGGTATAAAGTAGGCATCCAGATTCATCCCTTTACATGTAGATATCAGTTGTCATGGTACCATTTGTTGAGGAGACTGCTTTTTCCATGAAATTGTCTTGGCACCGTTGTCAAAAATCAATTGGTTTCAGAGTAGAAGAGGGACTTTAAAAAATAATCAATTGGTCATAGATGTATGGGTTTATTTCTGGACTCTCAATTTTATTCCATTGATCTATATGTCAATCCTTATGGCTATACTACTTCAGTAAAGTTTTATGGCTTTCTTCATATTAGTCTGACACATTTCTGTTTGGCTTATTTCTAGATATTTTAAATTTTTTGTTGCTATAATGACATGAAGCTTTATAAAATTGTATTTTCATTGATAACCAAAAATATAAAATATTTAAAATTAGTTATTGATAGGTAGTTCCTAGGAAATCAATTTACTTTTATATTTTAATCGTCTATCCTGTGTTTATTTGGTAGGCTTATAAAAAATTTGTGGCAAATACATATACCATAAAATTTACCATTTAAACTATGTTAAAGTATACAATTCAGAGCCATTAAGTAAATTCACAACGTTATGCAACTGTTACCACTGTCTAGTTCCAGAATGTTTTTATCATTACAAGTGGAAACTCCATTTGGTAAGCATTTCAAAGTTGAAGACTTCTGAGAGATTTCTTACATTATTTATTTGAATATTTCATTATGTCTGACTCTTGGCTTACCCCTTCTGACACTTTTATAAGATTAATATTAAATGTTCTGGATTGGCTGGGCATAGTGTTTCATGTCTGTAATGTTAGCACTTTGGGAGGCCAAGGTGGGTAGAACACCTGAAGCCAGAAGTTTGAGATCAGCCTGAGCAATATAGCAAGACTTTGTCTTTACCAAAAAAAGAAAAAAGTACAAAAATTAGCCAGGCATGGTCATGTGCACCTATAGTCCCAGCTACTCGGGAGGCTGAGTATATGCTGTCATATACTCATATACATATACATAAGGGTATACGCTATCAACATGACGTATAACTATTGACGTTAATATCGATCATTAGGCTGAGATAGTATTTGTCACGTTTCTCTACTGTAAAGTTACTTTCCCCCTCTCATTTCCATATTGTACTCTTTGAGAGGAAGTCACTGTATGTAGTCCACACTTAAGGAGAGGGAGTTATGCTCTACAGCCTTGAGCGTGGAGTATCTACATAAATTATTTGGAATATTTCTGCACAGGAAATTTGTCTTTTTACTTATTTACTATAGTTATAGTTTTTTTTTTAACACTTCCTTACTTTCTGATACTACAAGATACTCCAGACACTACAAGATACTTTTGTATATACCTCCTATATACAAGATGAACCCAGTCCTATAATCAGCTATATCTCTCTGATTTTTTTTTAATTGGAGAGTGATATTAGAAACCAAGATGTAAGCACCAGATGTTCTATATTCTCATAAGTGTTCTTTTTAATAGCTTTTAATTTCTTCTAATTTCTCTGCTTTGAGGGTATTCATTCTTTTAAAGACTACTTACATTTGTTTTATTTAATGATATTTCCTTGGGTGGTATTTGTTATTCTGTTTGTTGAATTTAGTTATGAGGGTGATTTTTCTTAAACATTCTGTGAATGTGTGCTTACATTTTAATTTGAGATTCTCTATTTGCTTTCCTATAGAGTTACTGTTTTCTATAGTTTGATGCCAATGATTGTGGGGGAAGGACAAGATGTGCAGATAGTGAAATCTGTTAATACTTCATTTTCTCTGTGTATGGAAATCCTGCTTCTCTAGCCTAAACATCTATACACCTAAACTCAGTGCAGGGGAAAATACCTCTAGTGCCTGATGATTAGCTCAAATGGGGATGAAGATATACAAAAAGGTCAGTCCTTCCCCTATGGTCCATATCTACACCCTCTAAACTTGGGGTGCCTCAAATCTGCTCCCAAATTTTACAGTGGTCTCCACCATATCTTTTTAGTCCTATAGTTTCTTCAATTAGCTGAATTCCCCTGCCTAACATTTTTCAGAGATCTTCGAAATTCCCGACTCCTGAAGGCCCCCTTCATGATTGCAGTATTCTTATGCAATTTTTTATTTTAAAAACATACATACAACTTTTCCTGTCATTGCTAGAGATTTTGGTAGGGAGGGGATGTAGGTGCCTGTTCTCAGTCAACCATCTTGGTCTAATATCTCCATCCTTCATTTAAAAAATGAACATATGAAGGAAGCTGGAAATAAAATGGTGAAGAGAAATGTATTTACATATACAAGTGCGTTAGACTCTTTGCTTCCTCAGCACACATTTCCTCATCTGTTTTTTTCGAGACAAAGTCTCACTGGAGTGCAGTGGTGTGATCATGGCTCACTGCAGCCTCAATCTCCAGGGCTCAAATGATCCTTCCACCTCAGCCCCCTGAGTAGCTGGGACCACAGGTGTGCACCACCATGCCTGGATAATTTTTTTATTGTTTGTAGAGACAGGATTTTCCTAACGTTGCCTAGGCTGACCTTGAACTCCTGGGCTTAAGCAGTCCTCCCGCCTCAGCCTCCCAAAATGTTGGGATTACAAATGTGAGCCACTGCACCCAGCTTTCCCTACCTTTTTGCCTGCCAACTGAACCTCAATGTTGTAGCAAATGAAAATCACTTGATATCAGAGAACCTGATGCAAACCCTGACATCAAGAAATAAATGATAATTGGTCTATACTATTCATAGTAATCCCATTTCCCTTTACTAGTGATTGGTCTGGGCATGTATCCTAGTTAAGGCCGAAGAAATGTAGAGAAGTCTTAGAGTGGGGAGTCTGGGATCTTCTCTCAGATAATAAAACAGAGCCTCAAGAGGAGAAAAATCCTTTATCTTCAAAGGGATTTTTTTGTTGTGAGGAAGTTATGGCTAGAGCTGTAATGGTCATCATGTGATCATGAGGTACAAGCACAAAAAATGAACAAAAATCAATAGAAACGGCCAAGCAAGGTAGCTCACACCTGTAATCCCAGCACTTTGGGAGGCCGAGGCAGGCGGATCATGAGGTCAGGAGTTCAAGACCAGCCTGACAAACATGCTGAAACCCCACCTCAACTACAAATACAAAAATTAGCTGGGTGTGGTGGCACACACCTGTAATCCCAGCTACTCAGGAGGCTGAGGCAGGAGAATTGCTTGAACCCAGGAGGCGGAGTTTGCAGTGAGCCAAGATTGCACCACTGCACTCCAGCCTGGGCGACAGAGAGGGACGCCGTCTCAAAAAAAAAAAAAAAGAAAAGAAAAAAAAAATTAACAGAAACAGCCTAGGTACTTAATGAAATTACTGAGCTGCTGAATGACAGTCAACAATAACTATCTTTATGGTTAAAGTCACTTTGTCTGATTTTCTGTTACTTTCAGCTGACATTGTTCCAATCCACTGTGTAAATACATATGAAAAAATTTTCAAATATTATTCTAAAGTCATGTAGATTAAAATTTACTTCTAACATTTCTTACATTTCACTTTTTTTTTTTCTCCCTCAGAATTAAACCTGGAGGGGCAGCAAAAAATTTCACCTGATTCAATAAAGGACTCTAAAACTGAAGCCTCAGGTAATATTGCAGTTAGAAAACCTGCAAAAGTGATTTTTACTTTAGATGAAACTGAACTGGAATCAAAGCTAGAGCAACCATGGAAGAAAAATCTCTTTGAAAGGATGGAGGCAAGAGCCCAAGCAATGCAGCAGAAAATAATAGATAAGGAAAATCTGAAGAAGGAACTAGAAAAAAAGGCTGAAAAAAAACTCCCTAGGGATAATTTGGCCAAAGAGTGGTTTAATACTGAAAGCATGACACTGAATAATCGTGTATATTTGCTTGACAAACTTCTACCCACCTTAATTCCTGGAATAGAAAGCATGTTAATTCAGGTAGAAAAGAAGAAGGTTTTGACAGAAGTTGATACTCCAAGCAAGTTTGACCCAATTAATTATTTGGGAGAATATTTAATGAGAAACAATCCTTATTATATCAAAGACCCAGGAATGTCTGGTTACCAGAGGGTGATGAAGGAGGTCACAGAAGACCTGAAGATATATGTTCCTGACACTATCTGCAACAGGTACAATCTGTTATAGTTTCAGTTCATGATATGTCTCCTTACATTGAAAAACTAGTAGAAAAATAACATAATCATACAGACAGGACTTAAAACAAGTGATTTTACAGTTATTCAAAAAGTATTTATTGAGCTACTAGTATGTGCTTCACTCCTTTTGAGGCACTGTGAATACTAACAAAATAAATAAGTTTCTTGTATTCATAGATTTAATTATCTCACTATGACTCCAAGTGTATATTGATTTTTTTTAATCTCCCTGCACTGGAAAGTAAGCTATATGAAAGTTGAGACTTTTAAAAAATTTAACTTTCCATGTAGGCAATATATTCACCTGATTTAAAGGCCAATATGTATAAAAAAGTTATACAGTGAAAAGCTTCCCTCCCATTCTTATCTTCTATCTACCCAGTACTCCACCTCCACCATAAATAACTACTATTATTGATTTTCTATAGATCCTTACAGAATTCTTTATACATACATAAGGAAATGAAAACATGGATTCTTGATTTTCCGTCTTTTACACAAAAGCATGTGATATGAGTTATAAATACCCATTTTTACCTTGCATTTATCTTTTGTCATATAGAAGATTTTTGAATTCTATGTAGTCAAATTTAACTTTCATGACATCAGGATTTTGAGGCACTGTTACATTTCAAAATATTAAAATAATTCTTCCATGTTCTCTTCCAGAATTATGATTTTAATTTTCATTTTAAATATTGACTCATTTGGAATTTATCCTAGTGTAACATGTAAGGATTCAACTTTATCCTTTTTCAAAAGTCTACTTAGTGGTCCCAATAAAAGTTAAGTATCTATCTTTACCCCACTAGTTTAGGATTGAGCCTTTATTAATAAATTCATATATATTTTTTAGTATATTTCTAGATTTTTCTATCCTATTCCATTGGTCAGTCTTCCTTTCATGCATTAGTACCACACTGCTTTAATAAGTGAAACTTTTAAATATATTCCACAGATCTGACAGTGCTGGTCCCCACTGTTTGCTCTTCTTTTCTGATATCTCCTAGCTATCTTGTTTGTTTACTTTTTTTGACATGAATTACGGGAGTAACTTCTCTACTTGAAAAAAAAAAAATGGGGCGAGAAAACCAAAAAAAAAACTTACAGGAGTTTTTATTGAAATTTGATTACATGTATTAATACTCTTAGAAAACCAACATCTTCAAGGCTGCAATTAGCCAAGATTACACCACTGCACTCCAGCCTGGGTGCCAGAGCAAGACCCAATCTCAAAAATAAAAAAAATAATAAATAAATAAATAAGCAGTCATACACACACACATGCAACAGAAAACCAACATCTTTAATAATGATGAGTGTTTCCAGTGTCTTTCAATTTGCTCATCTTATTTTGTATGAATTAGTGTTGTCTTAAAGTTTTTTCATGGCTGGGCATGGTGGCTCATGCCTATAATCCCAGCACTTTGGGAGGCCAAGGCAGGTGGATCACCTGAGGTCAGAAGTTTGAGACCAGCCTGGCCAACATGGCAAAACCCTGTCTCTACTAAAAACACAAAAATTAGCCCAGCATGGTGGTGCACGCCTGTAATCCCAGCTACTTGGGAGGCTGAGGTGGGAGAATAGCTTAAACCTGGGAGGCGGAGGCTGAAGTGAGCTGAGATGTACCACTGCACTCCAGCCTGGGTAACAGAGTGAGACTCTGTCTTGAAAAAAAGTTGTTTTTTTATTTTGCATAGGTTTTGTATCTCTCTTATTAGATTCATTACTACTTCTTTTTATCATTCTTTGTTGCTATTTTAAGCAGGAATTTCATCTCTTCTTACATTTTCTATCTGCATATAGTCTGAAGACATTAAACCTACTAATTTCTGTATATTTTTGTGCCCTGCTACCTTACTGAGTTTTCTTACAGTAAAACTTTAGTTGATTTCTTGGGTTTTCTAGGGAGATAACCATTGTCTGCAAATAATAGTAGTTTTCTTTCTTCCTTTTCAATTTTTATACTAACATCTTCCTACTACCTCCAATACAATATTAAATAATAGTGGTGATATAGGCATCCTTGTATTTTTACAACTGTAGTAGAAATGCTGCTTCTGTTACTGCTTCATTATGGGCAGGGTTCTGTTTTTGTTTTTTTGAGACAGTCTCGCTCTTGCCCAGGCTGGAGTGTGATGATACGATCCCAGCTCATTGCAACCTCTGTCTCCCAGGTTCAAGCGATTCTCTTGCCTCAGCCTCCTGAGTAGCTGGGATTATAGGTGTCTGCCACTATGCCCGGCTAATTTTTGTATTTTTAGTGGAGACGGGGTTTCACCATGTTGGCCAGGCTGTTCTCGAATGCCTAACCTCGTGATCCACCCACCTCGGCCTCCCAAAGTGCTGGGATTACCCAGCCTATGGGTAGTTTTTATATTATCAGTTCTATTCCATTTGGATATGAAAAACATTTTATCTCAATGGGAAAATGTATCTAACCTCTACCTTTCAGAGTGATTTTTAAAAATTAAGACGATTTTATCAAATGCTTTTTCAACACCAATGGAAGTGATAATTTGATTTTCACCTTAGATCCCTTAATGATGAATTTTATTAATAGGTTTCCTAATATTTAACTATCTTAGAATTTCTTTAATAAAACCTGCTTGGTTGCTATGTATTTCAGTACACTGAAATTTGCTTCCTACTAGTAAGACAGAATAAATATTTCTTTCCTTTTAATTACAGATTTTCAGAATTCTATATATATTTTATCTATCTACCTATCAGTAGTCACCTCCAATGGCAGCAAATGAAAACTGTTTTCCCCTTTTGGGAAAGAGTTCCTTTTTCAGTATGATCATGGATGCATGGATTTTAATATATATTCAATATATTTTAATCAATTGTAGTCATTTTTTTTTTTGTATTTTAGATGTTCAAATTGCACCAACTTTGGCTTCTATGTTCTGACATTACCCCTTTAGTCTTTGAAAACTTCATGCATTTTTAAAATGGATTCCTGGCTCCTTTTAATGTGGATCACTCATCTGTGAGCTAGGAGTGCTCATAAATATTGTATAGTCATTGTTTCTAGGCCCTTCAGGACTAAAACATATAATTTTTAGAGCCAATGGCCTGTGGCCAGACGTCACCTGCAGCCTCTTGGCTGCAGTGGCTGGCAGGGCTCCTGTACGACCTGTGGGCTCTGGACCCCAGTTCAGGAGGACCCTTCTTGATCCAGGAGGGGACCCTGGTCTCATTGAAGCCAGATGGGGTCTTGCGGCAGCCTGGTAGACATGTGATCCAGTGCTTTGGAGGCAGGGCTTCACGCTGGTGGGGATGAAGATCCTGCAGTTGGCCAGAGAACGTCCTTGCTGAACACTACCAGGACCTACCGAGGAAGCCCTTCTACCCAGTCCATCTTAGCTACATGAGCTCAAGGCCTGTTGATGGCCATGGTCTGGAAAGGGTACAATGTGGTCGACACCTCAAGGACCATGATAAGATACACCGACAGAGCTGAGGCTGACTCTGTGACCATGTGGGGAGACTTCAGCAACATCCACATCGGCAGGAACGTCCACACCAGCTATTCAGGATATCAGGGCCAGAGAGAGATCCAGCTGTGGTTTGAAAGCAGTGAGCTGGCGAACTAGCTCCCCTAGACAGAGGCCACCACAGAAGCGTCTTCCCAGCCTGAGGGTTCAGGCTGCCCTGGGCCACCCCAGCTTTGGTCCACCAAGACCAACTGCCTCAGTCACAGGAAGCCCACACTCCTACAAGTCTTTCCCCAAACCACTTTCCTGTGCACATTCTGCCCCACCCCAGCCCGGAGGACTTTGAGCCACAAACTTTATGTGCCTTTCTGTATCCTAGCCAGCGCAAGATTGGACCAAATCCTTTCTGCACCAAACTACCAGACAACCTTTGGGGCGTCTTCAAAAGTGGGTAGTGAGACCTCTCCTCCCGCAAAAGGGAGATATTAAAATTCACTGTGCTGAGAAAAGAAATATATAATTTTAAAAATGAGTTAATATTGACAGTTGCATATTAAATATAATGTGTCAGGGTTTTAACCTAATTTCTTTGATATTTGTATTTCCTTTTTCTTTTTTTTGAGACTGAGTCTCGCACTGTTGCCCAGGCTGTAGTGCAGTGGTGCGATCTTGGCTCACTGCAATCTCTGCCTCCTGGGTTCAAGCAATTCTCCTACCTAAGCCTCTTGAGTAGCTGAGACTACAGGTGTGCGACACCACGCCCAGCTAATTTTTTTTTTTTTTTTTTAGTAGAGACAGGGTTTCACCATGTTGGCCAGGATGGTCTCGATCTCCTGACCTCATGATCCGCCTGCCTTGGCCTCTCAAAGTTCTGGGATTACAGGCCTCAGCCACCACACCCAACCTGTATTTCCTTTTTTCTTATATAGAAAATCTTGGTTCCTAATGACATTGACATAACTACTGATTTGTTTTATCCTAAAGTTTACATAAAAGCTTCAAAATGGCCCAGTGCGGTGGCTCATGCCTGTAATCCCAACACTTTGGGAGGCTGAGGTGGGTGGATCACCTGAGGTGAAGAGTTCGAGATCAGCCTGGCCAACATAGTGAAACCCCCTCTTACTAAAAAGACAAAAATTACCTGGGCGGGGTGGCATGCACCTGTAATCCCAGAGATAGTGAGACCCTATCTCTAAAAATAAATAAATAAAATAAAATTTTAAAAACAAAAAATAAGCTATTTAAAAATATAACAACCACTCAGCTTTTGAGCCCTACAAAACCAATCAGTGGGTCAGATTTGGCCCCCAGGTTGTAGTTTGCTAAACTTTTTTCTAAATGATATCTGTTAGGTCTCTTCCAGGTCTAAAACAAAAACAATACCTTTGAATTTCTGAACATCTTCCCAAATCTCCATCTTTTCTTTTTAATATTTTCTGACATACAGACCTAAATATTTTCTGACATACAGACCTACACTAAAATTTACAATTCTTTTTGACTTGTTTTAGTGTCCTTTCTATAGGGTAA